GCGTACACGATAGAGTAGTGCGTTGGTAGATTGCCCGGTGACGTTGATTGAGCTTGATTGAGGTTGCAAATGCGTTTCTCGGTCAGGGTCAGGCTTCAAAAGTTGAGGTGCGGTCGAGAGAAGTTTACCCGTCGTGTGCCTGGACTGGAAAATGAGGTGGACAAAATCCGGTCAAGAGCGAACGTGGAGGTGGTTCAAGCCTCACTTACCAGGAAGTGGGTAATGGAGGGGGTGTGTGACTAGCGCCTGACGGCATTGGTGTGGACGTCCAGTCTCAACCCCACCGGCCAGTTCAGGCTCCAGCCACAACGATACGTACCTCTGTGTAGCTGCGCCCCCCCCCCCCCCCCCCCCCCACCCCCCCCCCCCCGCCCCCCCCCCCCGCCCCCACCCCCGCCCCCCCCCCCACCCCACACCCCACAGGAAAGGCAACCGCTCCCCCCCCCTCCCCCCCCCCCCCCCCCCCCCCCCCCCCCCCCCCCTCTCTCCAAACCCTCCCTCCAGTGCCCGCCCCTAGGTACGTACTCGAGCTCCCGCCCCCAATCCCAATCGAACCAAGGGAAGGGGAAGGATCATCTGTGCCTCACGAATGGGCTCCTCTCCTGTTCAAACGATGACTTGTCAACCCATCCGCCACATCCTTTCTTCCACCGTCTCGTTGTCGCCCAACCTCTGTTCGCTCACCGCCACATGAAAGCAGCAAGGCCAAACTTGGAAACAGGCTTCCCAGTCTTTCAACATGCATCATCAGCCGTCGTTAGGCATCCCCGGGCAAGCCTGACAGCTTCGTACCAAGCATGGCGGTATTTCCAACCAGGCCTTGAAGTCGGGACACCCACGGCACGACATGATGGAAAGACATGCCAGCCCGGGTCTTCAGTCAAAGCTGAACCTTGACGCAAAATTAAGAATCTTGCTTTGTGACATTGTCACACAAAATCAGGTGCAGCCGTCCGAGACCGCTTCAGACAAGTTTAACCTTTGGCCGGTGGGAACAATGCCATTGATCATGATTGGCGAGCCGCCGTTTGCTATCCTCAATTACGGGAACCGTTTGGTCGGGAAGCACAACATGGCAACAGCGGCATCGATGCAGTCAAACGCCAGATTTCGCGCATGCAAAGCTCCGTGTCGTCTGGCCCGCTCCGGTCTGGCCCACGACCCAATTCTACCTACAGGAGTTTGTCACTTATCAGGACATCACCTCGGCCATCACCGCACGACAAACGGCGTTGATGCACCTACCACTGCTCGGAAGAAGCCATGTCATGGTGTGTAGGATCGGAAAGAGGCCTGCCCACATCAACCCTTAAAAGACAACTGAGAAGCCTCCCGCCATCTCTCTTGTGTATGTAGACACCACAGCGAGCACCAGGGTGCGTGCAGGGCCACCAGCATCGCGAGAATCTGGCCACTGGGGAGACAACGCAAACGGATAAGATGAAACATTCATAATCATGTTCGTTGCAGAATCATGATAACCCACACACACCTGCTCGCGCACATACGAGTACACAACCATCTCAGGTTCAACCTGGTTAGCCGGAGCGGGCATGGGACACTTGCTCGCGCGCAACCGGTGACAGGGCGCGGCAGAGAGCCTTCGACTCGGGATGGACAACCCCATTGACACACCCACACACACACAATGAGCTTTCTTTTCGAGAATAATCCTTGCCCTTTCTGATGAAGTTAAGATTCGTTTTTTCTTTCCATGTCTATGCGCCATGGTCACATATCAAGTTTCGCATCCGAACTCGACAAGAGCGCACTGCAATCATCATTATCATCACATTATATTACTCTTAACGAAACTATTGGAAACCATTGCCGGGAAGAAGGAAAGACTGTTGGAAAGTACAGCAATGCGAGGTTATCGACCGCTGTTCATCATGGCCGTCTCCCAAGAGCTGAGTTGCTGGCCGCATTAACAATTGCTGGCCAAAGACGATGTTGAGCGTTTGAGCCGTCACGGACAAACCACCTCCACTACGCGCTAGATCTATCCTTGCTACCCGATCCGCCAGTGGGCTGCCGCTATGCCCAAGAAAGATCCGGTTCTGCGATGCTGGTTGCCGTTCACCGCCACGTTGGGTTTTGTTTGTGTCACCGACAATTTGGTGCTCAAGTCGAATCCTTTTCGAGGCGGTAGAAATAGTCTGCTGCAAGAAGATGAGGGAACAAAGGGACTTGGTTTCGAACTTGGGCAAACCCAACGAAGACATTCGGTCGACGGATGACAGTGATGTAAGGAGTGCACATATCATAAGAGCAGCAAACGCTCACAACCCAAAACGCTGGACGATGAGCTACCCGTCCACATTTTTGGGATATGCCCATCCATCTGTTCCTTCTAGCAGATCGCTTCATGACGTCGGCATCACTCATGGCGCGGGAACAACCTGAAAGGCAGCTCCGGGACAGGGATCTCCACTGGCGCATAGCCAGCACAGCACCTTTCTGGCTATATCATGCTCTGCTAAGGTGTCCAGAAGACGTACCGACAGCGAATATGGAAGTACCTTCGCCCGTCGTCACCCTTGCCCTGATTTCCAATCTATTGCCGGGCCACCATCGGTGCTACCGTGCTAGGGAGTACGATGTGCCTACCGTGCCAGGTATCTGTAGCATGTCTCGCCTTTTGTGATGGGATGAGAACCCGCAAGGCTGGGTTACCCCCGAGACAACCTTCTGCTGAGCAGGCATCGCAAAGCCACGATGCAAGGCCAGCAAACGAATAGGAGGTTTTTTATCATTCGACAAAAAAAAATCTGAAAGGGGGGCAGCGTCAGCATTTCCCAATAAAAGTCCAATGACATTATCCCTTTGGACATCAGCCCCGGGATGGAATGCAACCCCAGCCAAATGGTGCCTGGAGGGCTGGCAGGCGGCTACTAATTACGTCGAGAGCCATTTAATAGGCTCTCGAGTCTCAGTGCCACCAGGGCGGGAATCGACGTACATGAGCTTCAGCTCACTTGACTTGCTTAGTCGTGGAAGGACGACGGCGGCTGTACGACGTCTCCGCAGCACTCGCGTACGGCCGACAGAATAGCTCCCAGGATCTCAGCAACAGGCTCCGCAAGCCGTGGCTGATGTACAAATAAACAATAGCCTTTTGGTGTTGAGATTTAACCTCTGTTCTGCCTCTCGACGATCTCGGGTTCGGTTACATTGTTTATTAGTGATCGAACGCAGCAACAGACAGCGACACGTGCGCGAAACGTCGACATTCTCTTCCCGCATTGCTGTGGGGTGTTCGGACAACGACATGACAAACATGCCGTGCGAGTGTCCGGCCATTCCCATCGCTTGTCCTTCTCTTCATACGGAGGTTTGGTCCCAATCAGTTTCTCTGAGTCTCCGTGCTCCGCATGTCATGTAGGGCCCTGGTCCTTGATGGAGAGAATCTGGGCGCGGAGCTGGATAGCTGGCCGAGGCCCCCGGCCTGCACACTAAGCCGTCAGCCGCATGTATGTCATCTACCGAACGATACGTAGGGCCGCAGCGGAGGGTGGGCAATCTAACGTCAATAGCACCGGTGTCCTTAGGATTGCTCACCGCAAGCTGTGACTACCGCGATATTGTCGCTGAGGAAGGGCACGGTGCTTTACCGCATCCGATTCAACGATGTTCAAAGTTCAATGCTGCATCGATCGAGACGGCGGTGAGCAGTCTTGTTGGTCCTTTGTACTACAATATGGCTTCTAGACGGTGTGCCCTGGTTGGTTGATAGCTGGCAACGGTGCTGGTGTATGACACTTTAGACCAGAGTCGAAGGGCAGCCCAATTCATCCTCAAGCCTGCCCACCACACCCAATTATCAGCTGACCGATACGTATCCCAATTCCTTAACTATATTCTCGGGCAGTTTGGGTGCCAGCAGTCTACCTTGGGCACGAGACTAAGTCCTAACCAAGGTAACCAAAGTTAGCGTAGGCGTCTTGGACTGTGACCTCCCGAATCCAAGGCTAGTCAGGCTGCGTGGTGCAATACAGCGCTGAGAAGCCTTAGATTGACCAAGGTTTGTACCTGACCTGGGCAGGCCGCAGGTGGGATCAGTAGAGCCTATCCGTACTTGGAGGACAGGATGCAAAGACGTTGACGGGAGTTGTTCATTGCGCCATGGGACTTAATAAGGTAAGGTAAGGTAGCAGATGGGCTCCCCACGTTGGGGTGTCCATTGCACGGTCCTTTACCAGTCTCGTACCTCGTCCCAAGGCTAAGGTACCTGTAGTCTTAGGTTGCAAAGAAATTCCCCTAGCGCGATTGCCTTACCAGGCCATCGTCAGCAATGGAACGCCCGGAAGAAGCAAAGAACCGCGGCCCAAGGGCTGTGAAATGAGAAAAGGAGCATCCGGGAGCTCTAGCACGGTGACCAGGTGCCCTGCATAGAAGCAGGAGACTCATCGTCAGGTACGTACACGTGATGTAGACAGGTACCTCAGCGACTAGAGAAATGGTGCGGGCGAGTAAGTTAAGGTTACAAGCCGGCCAACTCATTCAGGTGCCCGTCCCCATTGGAAGGTGGTAGATTTGGCTGTATCCGCACTCCGTACGGCAGGCAGCAGACGATGGGAGGTACCTTTACCTGCCGCGTTGGTTCGATTAGGGAAAGAAAGACGAACAAGAACGTGGAGGAACAGCTCGATGAAAGGTCGGAAAAAGGGAAGGAGAGCGAGACAGACATACAACGTAGGTATTCAGTCGTCAATGACTGCCTCGATGCCATTTCTAAAGGGCAACCAACTAACCAGCCTTGCGTCTCCCGTCTCCCGTCTCCCGTCTCAACGCGCAGCCGTTTACATGTTGGATGTCGTTCCGATTTGCTCCACGTTTCTTCCCAAGAGTACACAATCAATCTCTGTACGACGACGCCATCTCTTCGCGTACAAAGCCCACTGTCCTCGAACGGAGTCCATCCTTACTTCTTTGCATCTCCCGCTGGCCATTAGTTGCTCCTTTATGTACCGCCCCGTCGTCATGTCAGGCACCGACCGATGTCGTGGACGCTGGTCCAGCTACGACACCGAATCCCTGAGGCCCCTTGGAGACACCAGGTGAGCTACCAAAACAGCCCAACCAAGCCATGTGTGGCTGGACTGGACGCTAACGACGACGTCGTGATCGCCTCATTGCCATGAAGGGTGGACAGCATCGATGGCGCTTGTACGACAAGACAAAAAAAAAAAAAAGAATCACCACCTACACCACCACAAGTCAGTGATGGCCAAGGATGCGACTGCGACGACCAAAAGAGGGCTGTTTGAAAGCCGCTAGCCAGCAAAGCAGCGAGCAAGCATGCCCCAAGTTGCATGGCGATCATGGTTCATGGCAACTGATGCAGCCCGGCCACAAGCTCACACTTGGCTTGTCCGTCGCAGTAAAAACATTACCGCCCTGGTCCTGGGTGGCTTTGCTGGACGGACGCTGCACGCTGCGCTGCGCTGCATATCTGACCGCCAGTTCATCATCAGACCAAGGCAAGGGCCAGGCCGAGCACCACCAGCATCAGCATCAGCATCAGCATCAGCGAGGCAAGACGAGGCAAGGCAAGGACCGGTCGAACAGCCGGAAGGGTAGGCATTCTATTCCCAACACGAGACAAGACAGACTTCGTGGAGGCTGTTCCTAGCTCGACCTCATGGAAATGGCTGTGGAACAATGGTAGCCAGGCATGAAGGGCATTGAACAAATGTTTCTCGGCACAACCTAGCCCCAGCCCATCTGCGGGTAGTCAACCGCCCTCGACGACTCGTTCGGCAGTGGCGCATTGTCACGGCCGCCGTTGGCTGTCCGGCCTCGTCGAGACAAGCCTCATCTTACACTCATTGTGTCGACCGCACAGACGTCGGGCTTGCTGCAACTCTTCTTCGCTCTCGTTCTCCCGCTGCCGTTGCCGTTGCCGCTGCCAGATGCAGAGCACAGCACTGCACCATACTGTCGGCTCTTTATTTTCAGGCTGCTCAGCTCATCAAACCGATCCGCGCCATCGACTTGTCAATCGCACTAGCACTAGCCGCGGAAGGGAGCCGCCCAAGACATGACAAGACATACATGTAGTCTGCATTTGCTTGCCCTCGCAGACCCCATTGAACCCGTTAGGATCGGCGAACAGCATAAGCACATGTTCAGCAAGTCAGAGATGCGCACAGGCAAAGGTGGAGGACATCCTCCCGAATCAGAGGAGACGGGACCAGGATAAGCCACAGTTGAGAGCAGTTCCTTCAAGTGTGTCCGGCCAAGCATCGGAATCCTCGTTGTCCAACTTCGGTCGACCCATCCCTCCCACCAGTTGGGTTCCTCCGTCGGTGTTCCAGTCTCCGACCCTCCAGACGTCTCTTAGCTTCTCGCCTGCTCGTTGCTCGACTATGCGCGCCGTCATACTTTCGCGTTTGACTTCTACGAGCGCGTGCCGGAGTCGGGGCCCCAACCAACCATGGGGCCAACACTACGAGGCTAACCGCAGCCTCCGGAGTGTCATAAGAAGCGATTTGCGAGGCCTTCCCTATCAACGTTTCTCCCCACCAGCTGTCTGCCTGCCTAAGTGAGTCAGCCGGCACGATGAGGATCCCGTCAAGCAGGAGCCCATCTATTACAACCCACCAGCATGCGCATGTGCGAAGTCCACCCGACTCTTCATTGCATCAGCAACCGCAGGTTTCAAAAATGGGGTCCACAGCACCCATATGCGGTTTCGGGACAAACTGCTGCCCACCACATTCCGCCCTCTCCACGCTTGTCTTGCCCTAGGATTATGGGCCATGCACACTTGACGCCCTCTTGAATTGCCCGCCCTCTCCAACCAAATTCCCACCAGCCTTCAATTCGAACCGGTGCTCTGCTACGTAGTCTGGGAGGGAGCTGTGACCAGGTGTGGTCATTGTACACGGACACGAACCAACCCTTATCCAAGCAATCTTTATGACCAGCGTTTCTCGGATCCCGTCCTTCGGAGAAACTGTCACCCAGCTTGCTCCATTGACTCCGGCTTTGACGCCGCATTAAACGCGCTGATCCAGACCTACCAAGGGTTGCCCATAGCCTGTTCTACCAAATAACAGAGAAGCATCATGCATGAATTCGTGGCCATGCCCTTTGAGCTCCTAGCTTGGTAGCGGACATTCGACCCAGCAGGTAGTGTACTTGAATTTCCATTCTTTTCTTTCTCATTTTCCCCCTCCCCTCTGCTCTACTCTCCCTACGACAATGACCCCTCATGGCCGGAGCTGCAATCTAGGGGTGTCGACATACGGGAGAACACCAGCCCCAGGCCAGACGCTAGACAGGGTAGGTTGCAGAGGGGTGTGGGTTGAAAAGAAAGCATGGCAGCCACCTGGTGTCTGTGAGCGCGCTGCCGGAAGGGGGGGCGTGTGTCTTTCAAACATGTGCTCAACTTGCCTATCCATGTCGGTTCCCAAACTATGCCTGGGTGAAAGTACCTAGCCCTTCATGAGCCTTATTCGACAACCTCTACCGCATCGCATTCTTCAATGAGGGCAGGGCAACAGGCGGACTGGCCCAGGCAAGGGACGGACGGCACCAACAAGATCCCGTCATCTGCCACTGGTCATTCCCTACCTATATGCGAGCTTGACATATAACTTCTGCCCTATTACTACGTTCACTGCTCACTGCTCGCTGCCGGTTGCTGCTGCTCGCGCTGGTGTTGTTTTGCCAAAGCTAACCAGCCTATGCCCTTGTCAAACACACACATTCTCACACACCCTCTTCATACGCGCACACACGCACACTTCCCATCCGTACCCAAACCTCGTCCTTCTCGTCGTCTCTTCCTTCTCCACAGTCGCAGTGGCTCTCTCTCCCTCTCTCCCTCTCTTTTCGCTGCTGCTAGGCTCGTCACTGTTGTCCTGGGTCTCGACTTCTCTCCTCCCACGCCCTTTTACACACCCCTCCATTGCTCCCACTCAGTCTCTTCTCGTTTCTTCTTCGATGACTTTTCTCTCGTCAGTTTAAGTGTCTTTTGGGCCTGTCACTTTGTTAATCAGACCCCGGCTTCCGTCCCCCCACCTCCTCCTCCACCTCTTCAACCCATCATCGTCCCTCAAACTACCTCTTTCTCGGTCCATTTTAATTCTTTTTTCTTCCATTCACAAACTGCATCACCGCAAGTTCCCGACGTAGACCGGCTTGTACCTTGTTTCCTTGGCCTCTACCAGCTTTCCGTAGGAGAACGATGACTCTGGCAAAGCTTCGCTTTCTGATGAAGACTTCTAGCAGCCTAGTTTAACGAACGTATACTTCCGCCGCCGCCGCCCTTTTTTTTTTTTTTGCTGTCCGCCCACCCGCCTGCCTGCGTCGACACCGAGCGAGCTCAATTTCCGATCATTGGTTGGCGGCTTTTCAAACTGGCCCAATCATGTTGATGACTTCCTCAAAACTGCCAGCTACGCCGCCATCTTGATCTAAAACCAGGTCCCTTTTTCCTTTCCAGATCTTTTCCCCCCTTTCTCTATCCCCCAGGATTAAACGGAACGCCTTTCCCTCTCACCAACCCCGCGATCGACATCACCAATTGTCCAGATACGGCAGAATCAGAGAACTTTGTTGCCCTCACCACTTTCAGTCACGGGGCCAGCGTCACCGATCTCCACCACTGTCAACCTGTGATCCTACTCTAACCCACCTCTGCCGTATTCCCCAACAAGTGGACTGCCCTAAACTTTACTTTACCTGCGAAGCGAAGAGAACTTTTGACGGGCACCGAATAACCGCTCCTGTCACCAAACTAGTCGGGATATCTTACCGACCTTCAACCTTTTAAGCCCTTCAGAAACTGCCCTTCTTGGGTGGTGTCGAGCAAACCGAAAAACTGGCGCGCGTCTATCGCGCCCATGACACAAGACCGTATCCAACCTACCTAGGCGGCCAAACCGTCACCGTGGATATCGCGTCTCTCCTGAAGGCTCCCGACTCAGATGAGTCCTCCACCGCTCCGCCTCAGCATACCCGATCTTCGTCAGACCCGTCCGCAACCGCAACCACGGCGGCCACAGCGCCTGTCAGCGGGCTACCTCCGTATGGCCCGCCACCCGTAGCACCGGGCCTGGCTGTGAGCGGCAAGCGTGCCATGCCGCCGCACGTTGCGGAGTCTCCGGCCAAGAAGCAGAGCAAGTGGTCGCCGGAGGAAGATGCCTTGATCATCGAACTTCGGGGGAGCGGAATGAAGTGGGAGGACATTTCGAAACGCTTACCAGGACGAAGCGCCATCAGTTGTCGACTCCACTACCAGAACTACCTCGAGAGGCGGAGCGAATGGGATGAGGAGCGCAAGAACAAGCTTGCACGGCTGTACGAGAGGTACGATTTGAGCCCGATACTCTGGAAACCACTCTGGATTCGCATTGTACATCCTGAGGGGAAACAAACTAACACAGAAGCCAGGTTTAAACCGGAGATGTGGGCAAAGGTTGCGGAGGAGATGGCTGTCCCTTGGCGAGCCGCAGAGGCCATGCACTGGCAGCTTGGCGAAGCCGATATGGCCCGACGGGCCGGCGTTGTACCCTTTTCCCTGACAGCGGTCAACGTAGACCAGCCTGGCGGTGGTCACCGGCACTCTCCTTCTCGAGGGCACATGCACACCCAGTCCCAACCTAGCCTGCCTCGGGACATTGGCGGACCATCCCCACGATACGGTCGACCACCTCCACCTGGCATATCACCGATCCCCGGTGGACGAGCCATCGCCGCCCGGCGCGAAAGCGTTCCCGGAAGGCCGCTGATGGGATCGGATCCGAATGAGATGGCGGGGATGGGGCCGGGTGGCCCCGGGTTGGCTCCGATTCAGGGGCTTCCGCCAGGCCGGGGCGGGGGCATGCTCCCGGGTGTGGCCGAACTGACTACCGGTGTAAGCCCCTACAGCACCCCAGCATACGCGATGGGCGGTATACCGACGGCAAGCCCGGTGCCCAGCGCAAGAGCAAGCCCCGGACCGCTACTCCCAGCCCTCCACTATCCACCACCTCACGAGCAAGCCGGTGCGAAGCGACGAGCCAGTCCAGGTACGGAGATGATGGGCTCAAGGGAAACGAGTCGGCGGCGGCACATGGATCCCCGCCAGGAAGAGATGGACCGGCGGCGCGTTGCATGATTGTAAGGGCAGGGTGAGAGCGGTGATGGCGCGGCGAACTTGGAGTTGGGGACAAAATTCTTTCGAGGGGGACGACACGAATCGCCTCCCCCTTTTGATTTTTCATGAGAGCATGGGAAACCTCGAGTATTGTTTTTTTTTCGTCCAACGTGTGCGGGGGGTCACGACGCACGACACGGGAACAGCATGTTGCATCGGGACTGGAGCAAGATTTTGTCTCATTTTTTTTTAACTTCTCATACACACACAACATCGTTACCGCTCGAGGTTGACGCTATCGCTCTGACAAGCTTCCCTCCTGCTGGCAACGGCCTGCTTATGGCCACGTCTTCTTCGTGTCATTTTACTTTTTTCCCATCTTCTAACGCTTTTCTTTTCTCCCCTTCAAACTTCCACGTGCGCCTGGTCTTCATTTCCCAGCTGCCGGCGCGGTGTGCGTTGTGCTGCGAAGAGGGAGAATAGAAACAAATCTTTTGCCGTTGGGTTTTCACGGTACCCGGCAGGTGGGTGGGGAGGGACGGGGGGCATCGGAAAGGAATTATTTCATGGCCAAAAAAAATCACGGTGGTTACTGGAGGTCAAGGTGTTTCCAAGAGTGGTCCGAAGGAGTATGTGTTAAGAGCATGTTAGTTTCATCTGTATGTATTGTCCCGGACAGGAATGTGAAAGAGGGCGGGGTGGGGGGAAAAGGGAGAGACCGAATGTAGTGGGAGCGACGTAGACTAAACGAAACACGTCACTTGACGAAGAGATGGATTACGGTCATGATAGAATTTCAAGGTCTCTAGATCGCCTTTTTGCTTTACCCCCCCATTGCCCCCGCTGGCAGGCATGTCTTCACGAGCCTTGATTTTGTTTTTCTTCAGTGTCTTGGTTTTGCGTTCCTTAACCCGTCCGTCCAAATTCCGCCTCATGAGTCCCGACAGAAGATGGCCCACCAGTTATCCCTCTCGTAGCCGCTCTCAAGCACCCTACCCCCGACATGCACAACGTCCTCTTCGAGCTCCCCCTCGCGGTAGAGGTGGTAATACCTCTGGAACGTCTCGTCCCTGACGGATTCGGCAGGTTCGGCAGGTCCGGCGGCTTGCGCTTGCGCTTGCATTTGCGTTTGCGCTTGCTCTTGATCCTGCGCCCCTTGCTCGGGCTTCTTCTCCTTCTTGCCCTTTGTGACCCACGACACGAGCTGGTCCTGCGCGGCGCCGGCGTCCCACCCGCGTCGGCTGTTGCCTTGCTCCAGGGCCCAGACCATGATGAGGACCTTGCCGCTGCCGGGCCGGACGGCAGAGAGGAGGGCGGCGACGGCGGCGCGGCGGCGTTCGCGGGTGGACATGTGGTGGATGACGGCGATGGAGATGGCAAAGTCGAAGGCGGAGTTGCGGTAGGGGAGAGATAGGGAGTCTGCGACGAGGACTTGGTTCTTTGGCGGTGCTGGTGCTGGTGCTGGTGCTGGTGCCACGGGCGCGGGAGGTTCCGAGGCCGAGGCGTCTGTGGCTTTCTTACTGTTCTTGTCGCTGCTGTTCTTGTTCTTCTTCTTGGAGCTCGCACTGGCGGCGGCATCAAAGTGCGGCGGCTGGTAGCTGCGCGCCAGCGAGACCAGGTTCGCGCTCCGGTCCGAGGCGACGATGAAGAGGGACGGGTTGACGCCAATGTATTTCCCGTTGCCGCAACCGGCGTCGAGGCCTACGGATCCGGGAGGGAGGGACAGCAGGAAGGCGGCGACGAGGGGCCAGGGCTTGTAGCGGGTTGAGGAGAAGTGCGGGGCGATGGCCTCGTAGACGGTGTGGACGTGGCGGGACTCGTAGGCCGCGGCCGCGTCGTCGTCGTTGTCGCCGTCCTCTCCCTGTGCGGCGGCGGCGGCGGCGCTGTCTTGGTCGCTGAGAGCGGAAGGAGGGTCCGGCGAACGGGGATCGGTGACGGGCACGGCCGGATGGCCGGGCCCGGTTTGGGGGCCGGATGAGACGCTCATGGTTGATGCTGCCGCAGGGGAAAAAAAAGGGGGGGGATGGGAGGGTGTGGCGCGTTGGGAACGTGGATGAAATTTGCGACTCTCACACTCGAGGGCAGACCAGCTAATTTCCTTTCTTGGAACTCGGAACCCTGGTAATCTAGCAAGCTTGCAATGACGGCTCTTCTGTCCCTTGTTTGATCTATAGTCTATAGAGAGGAAGAGTTCCCGTCGATCAGGGGTCCCAAGGGGAAAGAGAGTGCAAGGGGGGGGGGGATGTGGGAGAGAAGAAGAGAGAAAAGTCGGTAACTAGGGCCCTGGTCTACGGAGTACGGTCCCGTTAAAGTTTGGAGGCGAGTTAAAAGATAGCGCCCGTTGAAGCGCGGCGAAAACTTGCGTTCGTGCCAAGACGCCCCTTTGTCTGTGTGTTTCCCGTTGCGGTTGCGGCTTGTGATGTGCGCGCTCGTGTGTGTGTGTGTCCACTACTAGGTATTTTGCCGATGGGAGATTAGGTACCAAAAGTCTCCAGAGAGCGCTCCACCTTTATCCCATGCAGGCGCAGGGAAGCAAGTTGAAGATGAGGACGGCGGACGAAAAGCGACAATGATCTAAAGAGGCTCGTGCTCTGCAGGTCGATATTGAAGCGTCTGCAAGCGAAGGGGGTGGGTGTGGCTGCAGAACGCAAGAGGCGAAATAACAAAGAGACGTTGGGGAAAATATGTAGAAGCCACCGACGGGAGGATGACGAGTTGTGAGAAGAGCGGGGAGGAATAATTGTCTGAGCATTTGCACTTGGTGTGTGGCGTCGATGTATCCCCACTAATCTCCTCGACTCGGTGTGCGGCGTTTTTTTTTTTTTTTTTTGGCTTTGGCTTGGGGTTTTTTCGGGGGGGGGGGGGGTGGGGGGGGGGTGGGGGGTGGGGGGGGGGGGGGGGGGGGGGTGTTGGGTGTGGGGGGGGGGGGGGGGGGGGGGAGGGGTTTTTTTTTTTTTTTTTTGGCTTTGGCTTTGGGTTTTTTTCCGGTGGTGCGCGGGGTGGAATTCAACGGTGGAGGTGTCTTTCGGCAAAGAGGGTGGCGGGGGGGCCGTTCCGCCTCGGTGTATCCGTATGCCTAGTCGTTAGCTCCGGGTTGGGGCCCACGAGCCGGCGCCGTACTGATCTGACCGGCCCTCTCCACTCTTTTGGGGCAGCTGAGCCGACGAGTCACCCGGAGGACAAATTGTAACGGCCCTCCCCAACTATGAATGCAGGCACTGCAGCCTCATCAAGTGGGATGATTCCATGGCCACCGCTACGGCCGCGGCCGCCGAACAGGCCGCAGAAGGACGGATAGTGGATCCTGTCATGCGGCTCAAGGGTACAACCGCGTGAACTTCCAACGACGACGGGGACGAATCACACATCACAATACCAAAGGGCGTTGATTATATTTGGACGCGTCCATCATAGGAACCCCTACGGAGAGTTCGACATTCAAGAGCTGTGCTGCCAATTTGCAGTCTGTGTCTACCTCAGGTAACCTCCCGTCGAGAAAATTGAGAAGGATCGGGATCAAGTGATTGTGTAGGCATGCAGCGAGTGGGTCCCCAGTTCCTTTCCCTCAGGAACGTCTCGGCTACCTGCGGCGCGGCACGGCATTAGCGCTGGACTCGAATGGGGATCTATCCCGGGATTGAGATGGAGGGTTCGGGGGGGGCCTTGTCCCGCTTCGGTCTACTTCGAGTGCCATTCGCTGCATCGTCGAGGTTGGGAGCCCAAGGCAAAGCGTTCGAAACGGGCGGGAAGGCCCCTGAAACCAGGTCCTGTCGTTCATCTTGCGTTGATGATCGTGGTTGCATCCGTACGTGCGAACCGACAATGTTCAATCCATGGTGTTTGCTCCTCTCAGACCCTGCCTCGGTTTCGCTTCGAAGTTTGGGGATGGGTTATGATATAGTGTTAAGGGAGATGAGAGGTGGGAGAACGAGGCAAGGGGAGTGTACTGAGTAGAACTAGCAAAAACCCCACCCCCTCTCGGCAAAGGAGGAAACAAATTCCCAAGGAGGGAGGAAAGGCGAGACAAGAGAAATCAGAGACCGTCACATTCCTGACCGGGGCTCCAAACGCGCAAAATTTGGAATTTCCGAAAACTCGGTACGAACGGATGGAGAATCATCCTTGAATAGATTTCTTGCGCGATTGTCGTCAGGGATCCGCGAGCCCTTTTCCCCTTTCGGTTCGAACTGCCTGCGAGGGGAACTCGACACGAATACCTGTCCCGTATCCGTACTTGTGTGCTCGTTCATTTTTTTTTCAGTTACATGACTCTTTGAGTCTACATCCTGGAGGAGTAAGCATGATTGAGAACCCTTTGGCAAATGAGAGAGAGGCTGGAGAAAAGGACGCGGGGGATACCGCCAAAAGTTTGCCCAATATTGTGAGTTACGGGTCTTTGCGTGCTTTGGGACACTACATATTTTACTGACTCTACGGATACCCGTACATAGCAATCTTACATACGAACTTCTTCCCATTGGAACCATCAACCCCTTTTTTGATCTTGGTGATGTCAGATTCAGGTGGTGCAAGGTAAACCCGCTGATCGCTTTGCCGCCCCTAGGCCCTGGGTCCGTAAATTTAATCTCCGATCCGCAGGGAAAGATGTTCAAGGGTTCTGAGGAAAGGGGTCATTCTAAATGTATTATGCTGCGTGCAGGTTTGCTTCGTACGGATACATTGATTATTACTTGTTTTTGGCATGCCAGTCTGTGGCAGGGAGCTACGTCTTTTGCCCCAAGGGAAAATGACGTAAAAAAATAAAAAATAAAAGGAACCCTGACTTTCAACGTGGCCACGTGTGGGATTGTAGATGCTTGTGGCACGAGGACAATCGCCCTCGTGTCTGGCAAAACATGGCGATCGAGGTAACTTCAACACTTTCTGCTAGCCAGAGACATGTTCGTCCCCGCGTGGCTTTTGACCGTTGGTGGTTCACTTTGAACCAGGGAGGCAAAGAAGGAATGCGTGTGGCAGGGTGTGAGTGACTAAAGCCAGTATTACAACAATGAAACATTTGTTTCTGCCCCCAGATTTCTGCCACGCAAAGGCACCTCGATTTCACGAGCTAAAATCAAAAGACATTGCAAACGACGGTTGCGGTCCGCAAAAACGCTAAAATGTACCAGACTTCACCCACGGCTCTGTCCCGCCCCGGGCCGGGGCGACGGTCCCACAGTCTCGGGCCTCCCGAAAGCGGGGCCTCGCCCTGAATCCAAGACTCTTTTGTTATCTACAACCGAACTTACACATCACCACGCCTTCTGTCGATGCAAATAATCTCAAGCGTTTCCCAGGTTTAAGGGGCTCTTAGGATCAAATTTGTGGGTGGTGATGAGCTCAGGGTACTGAATGCCGCCCTGCTTGATGACGCTGTCCATCGTCTCCATGATGACGAGAGACTCCGACAGCGGCAACGTGGCGCTCTCCGTCTTTCCGTCGCGCAAGCAGCGCGCGCACTCGTCGGCCTCCCAGAACATACCATGGCCCCAGTTGCGCGCCTCGTCCTTGGGAATGGGGCAGTTGACGACCTCGACCTCATCGACGCCCTTCTTGACGACCTTGTAAGATGTCGGCCTGTAGGCCGGGTGAGCGACCTGGATCTCACCTTTGGAGCCTTGGATTCGGATCGCGGGCGCCGTCTCGCCCTTTTGGCCGTCGGGCGCCGTGTCGACGCGCAGCGAGGTGGTGGCGATGCCCGTCATCTGGTGCTTGGGGAAGTTGAGGATCATGGTTGTGGACTCATCGGCGCCCGTGACGGGGTACTTTTGCACAGAGGCCAGAACCTCGGGGCTCTCCTTGTCGGCCTCGGCCTCAGGCTGCAGGTGGTACAGCGTCTGGAAGAGCCAGGTCAGTGAGTAGATGCCCAGATCGAGGAGGGCGCCGCCCGCGAGCTCGGGGTTGACCATGCGGTGGGCGTCGGGGAATGACAGCTTGCCGGAGCCGTCGTCGGCGTTGCTGTTGAAGGACAGGTCAGAGGTAGCGCGGTAGACCTTGCCGATGGCGCCCGAGGAGATGAGCTCGCGGATCTTGATACTGAGGGGAAAGTAGCGGGTCCAGACAGCCTCCATGAAGAAGAGCTTCTTGGCGCGGGCGGTCTCGACGAGGACGCGGGTCTGCTCGGCAGTGACGGTCAGGGCCTTTTCGCAGAGGACGCTCTTGCCGGCGTCAAGGGCGAGCATGGCGTTCTGGAAGTGGTGGGAGTGCGGTGTGGCGACGTAGATGATGTCGACGGCCGGGTCGCGGACGAGCTCGGTATAGGAGCCGTAGACGATTGTGTCAGCGGGGGCGTCAATCTTCTTGACAAAGGCGCGGGCCTTTTCGGCGTCGCGAGAGGATGAGACGGCGGCGATGCGGTGGGTGACGTCGGTCACCTCGCGCGAGGCCGGGTTGGTCAGAAGATCCTTGCAGAAGGCTGGAAAGACGGCATTATCAGTGATTGCTTGGAGTTGGAGGAGCTCGGTTCTATCGGTGGAAGCATACTCTCGGCAATCCAGCCTGTGGCCATGATGCCCCAGTTGACAGTGTGTGGCGCCATGTTTGAATGTTGATGCAATTGATTACGGTATGGATTGGGTGGCTTGAGAGGTTTTTTATTTTTTCGGACGTGGCAGAATTCCAGCAAGAGGTCCGATGCCTGGGTATATAATCAAAATCGAGACTGAGGAAGGGGAAAGAGAGAGAGAGCAGACGGGTCAACGAAGTGCGAATCGGCGCGGTTGTCCTTCCCCTTTTCTATCCCGCGCAACCATCCCAACACGCGGGGCGGACCCTCCACTCCAGCTAATCCTCGGAGGCAGTTGCTGCGGGGTACGAGAATGTAGGTAGCAAAAAGGGAGGGCCGAGGACCATTGTCAAACATGAAGGAGCCACTGAGCTAAATCCAACTTGCGACGAATTGTCGATGCAAATCGCAACCACAGCGACAACACCACACCATGACTTGGACTACGACATACTGCCTGCTATGGAAGCCTACCCGATTCACGCTTCTCAACACAGGCGACCCTCTGTCTTGAACAACGTCAAGCTCGATCAGCCGCCAGGTAATTCGTAGGGGTCTACAGTCGTGAATTGAAAGCTCGTCAAGAATTTTGAACCATGGGTGGTGGTGCCGGCGTAAGCAGAAGCCGCCACACTCAAGACGGATCGTCGACGCGATATGCATTCCATTCCGTCCTCCCGCCCCTTGCCCCTCCTCCAAGGTAGGTGCTCCCGGGTAAACTGAGGGTGGGATTTGGTGACAAAATGGGTCGTTTACTCCGATACTTGGAGACTTCCTTCGAGATTCGAGAGGTGAAGGGCAGATGGCGGGGCTCGTCTTGTTACCCCGCGGCGGGGGCCTCCTTCCCTTATCAACGATAAGACGTCATAGACGAAGCTGAGGTATCCGTACCTTAGCTCAAGGTCCTAAAGAGGTACCTGACCTCTCCTTACCTTAGCTACCTACCTGACCCAATGGATTAAGCCCCTAGAGTACATCTCCTTGAACGGCTACCATTTCATCGGAAATGGAGCCGCAGCTTGTTAACAATGTGAAGCTATTCAGAGTGTGCAAAGAAGTCAACTTTGTAAGCCTCGGGGTCTTATGCGGAAGGCCATCGATGTTTCGCCGTCGGTGAAAATGCATGCCGCTTTGGACCCTCACTGAACAAATGTGTAGACATCCTGTGACAAACATCTGTCGCCACATCTCCTCCAAACAACGTCCGTATTCCGCAGACTTGTGACACTGAGTTTAATCCCATCATTCCCACTCACCTCTTTGCAACTTCTGGCCCTCACCCATACTCCCGCCTCGTAGGTATTATATCACCGCTTACAGCCTCAAAGGAGACAAAAAAAAATGCCACACACTACCGCCCCAATTCCCCGCCTAATCTATGGCACAGCCTGGAAGAAATCCCAAACGGCCCCCCTAGTCGCCTCCGCCCTCGCCGCCGGCTTCCGCGCCGTCGACACCGCCGCGTCCCACCACTACTCGGAAGAAGGCGTCGGCGATGGTCTCCGCACGTTTCTGTCTCAGACGTCGGCAGCGGGAATGCCGCCGGCACACGGCATCACCCGCGCCGGGCTCTACATCCAGACTAAATTCTCCCCTTCGCCTTCGAACCTGCCCATCCCGGAGCAGGTGCACAAGTCCATCGCCTCGTCGTTGAAGAACCTCGCCGTCGGGAGCAACTTGTTCGCGCCATCGCCCTCGCCGTCGCCCGCCAGCGATAGCAACAACGCCGCCGACGACGACGAGGAATTCTACCTGGACTGCGTTCTCCTACACGCCCCCTACCCATCCTACGAGGACACCCTCCTCGCCTGGCGCGCCCTAGAAACCTACGTGCCCACCCGTATCCGCACCCTCGGCATCTCCAATGTCGACCTCGCCGAGCTCCGGGACCTCTGCGACAAGGACGCCCGCGTGAAGCCCGTCGTCGTGCAGAACCGGCTGAACCCGGAGGAAGGGTTCAACACCCCCGTCCGCGTCTTCTGCCGCGAAAGGGGCATTAATTTCCAGTCCTTTTGGACCCTGACGGCGAACCCGCGCCTGGTGAGGAGTCCGTTCGTCGGGCAGGTCGCCAGGGGGGCGCGGGTGAGTAACGAGATTGCGTTTTACGGACTGGTGCTGGGGTTGAGGGGTGTGAGTGTGCTAGATGGGACTACGAACGAGGTCAGGATGAAGGAGGACCTCGAGGGTGTGGAAAAGGTGACTGCTTGGGCAGATGGTGATGGCGGCACGGTGTGGCAGGAGAGTTTGGCGGCTTTCAAAGCAGTGCTTGGTGATCCTGAGGCACTCTGAATAATAGGAGGCTGGAGACGCAAAATTAAAAAAAAAATTAACCTTGTGAGAAATATCCAGTAGTAAGTAATTCTATTCAGGTGGAGAAGCCTGTCGTCTCCGCACACTGCCATAAAACGCCCAAGAATGCAGTCTTTCCTGGGTATTTCCTCGATCCTCTGCAATCTCTCTTTTCAGAGCCTTAAAATAGCTCCCATGCAAAGACACCGCTGTCTCCTTCCCCTTGATGCTTTGGCCAGCCCTCCACCTAGTTCAGGAAACCATCCTCGCAGAAACAAGACTCGCTGTGGTATCTTAAATCCCAATAAAGAAAAGCACGAGCCGAGAAGGCCATCGTGTTGTCATCTGCGACCCCATCCCCGTATCCTATCAATCTCACAATTATGTAAGGAAACCTTTGCCCATGCAATGTCATTAGTCGTCCGTGTTGTATTCCTGGTCGTCCACCAGAACCACCACTGTCAAAGTTGCTGCGTATGCCTCACGAATAGCACAAGCCATGCTTCTCAATATTAGCAGAGGTTCGTCAGCATCAAATGGGCCTTGAAAGAACTCACCAAGTCTTGCGAATATCAGCAATCACGGCACTCAGCCCCCAATGTGAACACCAGGCTCGTGCCAGGACCTCGTTGTCCCTCACTCCAAATGCCTCCACCACCAACACCTGCTCCTCATCGACTTGATCTTGGCTGCTTACTGTGTGTGGACCTGCTGTAGAACTTGTCCTGGAACTGCGTGCACTTGGTGATTGCCCATACAGCCCACCCCAGTCCTTGATGTTCATGATCTCATCCGCCTTAACAGCCTGGAAGACGTAGTCGAAGAATAGCGGATGCGGGCCACCCGAACAAGGCCAAGCTGAAATGAAGGACACATCATACGTTAGGCGCATAGGCCACGACACTCCATCCACTGCGAATTGTATGGTTGCATCGAATACCCGCGGTGCTGGTGGAGGTTCCTGGAAACGGTCTGGGACAGCCTCGAAGCTGAGCAGCTCGATACGGACGGTATCAACAATGTCGTCCGCATCGGGGGCCACGAGCTTGTATTCCTTGACCGGGAATACCTCTGCCGGGGGGCCGAGGGGGTCAGACCTTTCGCTCATTGACTGTACGTCTTCGGGGGTCATGCGCTGTCGAGGACGCCGTGATCGTACACGGGCAATTTGCGATCGGCCAAGATCGGCGGTCGGACGGGCTGGCCCGACCCAGCCTGCTAGAGATCGACATGTCGGGGCAAGTACTTTTCCGACGATCGAAGCAGCAGTCCAGTAGGTGTAACTATTCCTATATTGAAACCCACAGTGAGGATGGAGGTGCGTCATCATGGCCAGGGAGTCGGTAGCCCTGTCGGGATCAATGTCGACGAGGGTGTTCATGATGAGGAACGGAAAAGTTGACTTTGTCTGTTAGCAGGTGTGCGAGATTCATCTCAGCCGTAGGTGGAACTTACACCGGGGAGCACGAGACCGCTGAAGAAAGCCAATGCGTCGGAACTGATAATGTCTAGGGTCGCGTCCACATCCCTCTGTTTCAACTTATCAAGAGTATGGCCTAAGTTGGGCCATTTCATCATCTGCGCAAAGCGCCGTAACATCTTGATTTGGCGTTTCTTCAGCCTGAAGCGCAAATTGACTGTCGCAAGTTAGATATGGATTAAGAGAAGGGCATTGCTAGGCAGCTTACTGTCTTCCACCGACTTTCCATACCCCTCAACCCTCACGTGTTCTCGCCAGCGTCTGGCAAGGGCAAGATCCCACTGGATGGTGGGAGGTAGTTGAGGCAGTAGCTTCTCCTTGGCCCATTCCCCGTGCAGCCGCGAATTAATCCGTAGATCTAGTTCCATGCTGAGCACGAGCTGGTGGCAAAACTTGATGTACTGCTGCTGACTTCCGTGGCTCGGGTCGAAGATGAAGCGAGTGACGACTTGATTCTTGGGATCGGTGAAGTCGATCCAGTCCGGACGGGACAAGACCATGATCAGATCGGTAATCTGCTTGTCGAGTCCTTTGTGTGGGCTCATCATCTTGTCGGGGTCGCGGAGGAAGCGGCGATATAAGCTTTTGTACATCCATTCTTCGTCATCGTCTTCCAAACCCGTTTCCAGCTCCTTGAGACGCTCAAAGATACGATCCAAACCGACCTCTCGAGCCGTGGCGCCCGAGTCTCTCAAACCGATTGTCGGAGGCTTGATACTGGCCATACAAGCCCACTGGTTCAAGGTGATGGTGCCAGGTTGTTGACCATAAAAGAATGCAAAGCTCGGCTGTTCCAAAGACTCCCATGGATATATCGCTGAACCGCCACCCTGCATACGGAGAGTCATGAGTTGGGTCATGTGGTCGTGCAAATTGACGATATCCGTCTCCTCAGCATCGTTTCCTGCGGACGTGGTGTAGAGGGCATAGTAATGATCGGATGCGTGAGGTACGGGACGCTTATGGCCTTTGTGGGCGGGGGCGCCGCGCGAGACGAGTTCCATGGCATGGCCGAGGGTGAGCTCCTCTTGGCTTGACATGCCGGAGGGCGGCCACTCTGTTAGTGGTCCCTGCTCGACAATAATGCCATTGGGATGCGCGCGACCCTTTCCTTTGGCTCTTGCAGGATCTGGCCTTTTAGGTCGTCTGCGCGAGCGAGGGTGATCTGGGTGGACGCTTGGGTGGCCGTTGGGAGACTCGACTGTTCTCGAGGCCTTGTGCATGTTTGGTAATGACTTGCGTCTCCGCGGGACGACATCCCCATCGCTCGCCCTGCGCGATTCCGGATTTTCCTGCAATCATTGTCAGTAAAACAAAGGTCCTGATGAAGCGCGCGCGTGTCCGTCACAGCGCAATATTTGGGTCGTCGAACCAGTCTCCCTTTCTTTGCCAGGCTCCTGTTGCGGAAAATGCTGCCCCAGAAGCTCTTCTTCTCACTGCGGCCCTCTCGGTCTCTCTCCTCTTTGACTTCGGCCATGTCTTATTAACAAATTAGGTGTGAGTAACCTCGAGGTCGTGTTATGCACTCGAGGGCAATTGCAATGTGATAAACAAACAATGTTTGTTAGGTGAATTGAGGCCCGGGCGGGAATGGGCGCAAGTGAATTCGTCAGTCTGCGTGGCTGCGCACCATGCCCGTCACGAGGAATGCGCCTGTCGCAGACAGCTTGAAGTGGTCAGCATCGGCTCAATGCCATGCAGGCGTAGAGATGTTGGTGATTTAGCGATATATGATTTTTTGGGCGATTAGGGCGGCGATTGAGGCATGCTTTCTCGAAAACGCGGCGGTTTATCGAGGATCGGTATCCGTAGGAACAGGTCGTCTTCGTCGGAGGTTTGGCCCAAGGTCTGTGTGGTGAATGTCTGTGAGCGATCCGAAAGAGATCAGCGAAGCATCTCAAGTCGAGGTGCCGCAATAAGTCGAGGTGGGCGCAGCGCTCTGCAAATGCAGCCGTTATACCCCGTGGTCGTTGCTTACGGTCGTCTTTCCCAGCGGTCCGCCCGCAAACCACAATTGTCGGGCAAGTCAAAGTTGGGAGCAAAAGGGTGGTGGTTGTCCAGTCGCGGCGCTCCCTGCAGGTCGAGGTTGTGGTTCACGTGTCGCGGGAGCATGAGATGACGGAGTGAGTCCGGGCGGCGGCGGGTCTCTTTGGGTTTTTGGGTTTCGGGGGAAGTGAGGGAGAGAGTGAATGAGTGGTGAGTGTGGTGCGTGGTGAGTGAGTGCGGCAAAGTGGTGAGTGAGAGAGAGAGCGCGAGCGAGCGGGCAGCGTACACTCGGGACGGGAGGAAGTGACTGGACGAGGCAGTACACTGAGTGATGCAACGGAGCAGTGATGGACACCAGGACACGACAGTTGCCGCGTTTTTAGTTCCAATGGCCAATGCCATTAATGCCATTGAATTTTTCTTTCTTTTCTTTTCCAATTGCAGGGCTGCAGCTGCTCCAGTTGCTGCCGACATGTCTCGCTGGTTTTCATCTCCTGCAGGTCGCTGGTTCCTTGCTTCACATTTCCATTCCGTGGCCTACCTACTGGGTAGTTGCCTAGCACGCCTAGGTAGTATACATTCTGTCGCCTTAAGAGAAGGTACCGCGGTGGGGGAGATGTCCGTCACTGGCCGGACACGGGTCTGCAAGCCCGGTCAGGTAAGGTCAGGTTTCTTCCTGTTCTGTTCCTCACCCTCACCTCACTCCCGCGTGTGGCAAGGACGTATGGTATGCTCTTGTAAGTGGCATTTTGCTCATGGTAAAACTAGGATCAAGGCAGGCAAGTGTCACAAAAAGCTTAGCTTCGTATTAGGTAGACGCGGGAGCAGAGGAACGTCAACGGTCCACATGCTGTTGCTGGGTTCTTAGTGAGCCACGCCATTCAGTCAGTCAGTCCCTTCATGTTCCTTTGAACCAAGATCAGGTGGCTGTGGGAAAAGTCAACCGCACAACGGCAAACAAGGTTCGTCGTGATAGGCCAAGCCGCCGCAGATGCCCGACGACGCAACAGCGAATGAGCCTGTACGTTTGACGTCGAGGAAGGGAACAACCCAGTCTTCCTTGCCGGCGGGCAAGAAATCCAAACCTGCCACGTCGTATGTCATCCCGCTCTCTCCACGCAATCTGACTCGCCTAGCACCAACTCCAGGGCCATGCGTCTGCCCGAGCTTCTTCGTCCCTCGTTTGCCTCGTTTTTTCTTTGGTTTCTTTTGGTGTGCATGTTCCCAATATCCGGCTCCCGTCTAAGGATATTGTCCAACACACTGAATGCGCTTTCCGGGTCCCGGATCAGGAACCCCAATCCTAGCTTTGTCCAACTATTACCGCCAATAAAAACCCACTTGTTCACCTCCACCGCCGGCACTAGAGCCCACGATCCCATCTTTTACCGCCCTCGTCCATGCACGTCAACGACCGCTTCTACCATCCGATGCCGTAAGAAGAGTTCGACGCCCGTTGGGCCACTCCAGATCGAGATCGCGACCCCCGAGAGATGCCTGTTACCCAGCCGCCCAATCAATCTATCACCCCTGTGTCCGGAACTGGCTCCTGCCTCGAACGAACCAGGCCTTTGTGAACGGAACTGTTCTCAGGATCCGCCGTCTTCGTCTCGTGAGCGAAACGTTTGCCCAGAGTCACCTCTTCTTGCAATGCCTTTACTTTATGTTGCGATACCCAGCTCCAAATCAGCCACTAGCAGACTCGGATGGCCGGCCACCGGACGTCGGCGCTGCCGCCTCCAGAGCCAATGTCCGACACTTCCGCATCCACCCTGTTCGCCTTGCCGTGGCCGACCTGCGCCCTCTGCTGCAGCATAGCGAAGAACTCTCTTTTACGTCATCGACTGGTCGCAATTTCCTGCCCGCGGCCTTCCCAACATTAATGTAATGGCTGCTAGGCGCGCTGCGTCTGACATGGTCTAGGGAACCGACGATGTTACTCCCCGCCGTTCTCATCGACGGATCGGTGGCCTGACATGTTCCTCACTCTGAAGGATCTTCCGGGTGTAACGCTGGATCTCGTGTTTCGATATGTCGCCCTGGTGGTGTGACAGCCGGGTCCGGGGTCTCTGGCGTTCTGGAAGCCGTCTTTCTGATTCCATAGTAAAGGCCTTGTATAGACCTCCCCATACTCGTCCGCATGATGGCCACTGCATCTCGACACTCTCTCCTGCCGCGGCATATCTTGCTCAATCCTCTCATGTCCCCGATATAGTAATACCTCGGGACCACAAACTCCGGCCAAGTAGCTCCGGTCAGATGGAGGAGAAAGCAGGCTGGTGAGCAGTCCTTGCCTACATCCCACGGCTCATACACAAATCCAGTGCCCTCATGGAGGACAAAGATAGCCGCGGAGCCGCGGAGCCCCCATCTCGAAACACTGTGTTGGATAGAGATCAGTCCAACCTTCTTGGCGCAATCCCAAGCCAGACGTTATCTACAAAGTCAACCTGAGCCCTGGACAGACTCTTGGACCCTGAACTTACCTTGACTATGAGAAAGCTACCTTGACATGCCTCATTCGTGATTTGCTGGCATCCATTCTTCAAACTCACAGATTGTTACTGGCGATGACAATTACCTTTCCGCGTGCCGTAAGCTCTCCGGGAGTCTGTTCCGCTCCGGACCCACCCCTTGACTACCAGCGACCATGATAACACAGTTCAACAGTCAACATAGGCTACAAGCATCCCAGAAGTTGCGAGGGCTAAACATCAAAACTGATTGTAGCAAAAAAAAAGACTCACTTCATCACTTGTTTAAATCACATGGGCTTCGCGTCTTCTTTTGAGCCAAAGTGCAGAAGCCTCCAGTTTCGTTAGGACCTTTCTGGCTGTAGAATGCTGTTGCGCACACAAATCGTAGTCTTATTCGTAAATAATTTTTTAACATCATTAACGTACCAGATGTTGTCCAGTCGCCTAGACAGGACATAGCGCCGGGGTGATGTGTCTTTCAATGTTCATGACTTTCGTGTCTGCAAGTCAAACTCGTTAGCGTTGATAATTTTGCTCGAGGCAGCGCAAAACAAGAGCCTGGCGTTACGAAGTAGCAAAGTCGAGGCTCTGGTACTTGCTGTATGAGAGTTTTATGAAAGCATGGTGAGCTGGACACATGGCCTTTCTGTCTTCGGCTCATACTCCCGACGTAACCATTCACGGACACGTTTTCTAGGACTAAGAAGGAAGTGAGCGTACGAAGCAAGAATCGAGACTATGGACCCCAGCCCTGCCGTCGCCAGTCACCGAGAAACAACGAGTTACGCATGGAGAAGGAGTACTCAAGTTTGTCCAAGGTTCTGAACTAGACATGGACACATTGAGAAGCATAGCTTCCCGGTGTTGGCGTTGTCGGTCCTAATTGACACGGGATTAGAGAATCTGCAGTGATCCTACGGGAGCAGCCCGCCACAATGTCAGTCTTCGGGAGAAGGAGACAAATGACGGATACTGATATGCATTCCAGCTCCCTAGGGCCTCCTAAGTGCTATTGCGCCCCTCTACTCGTCTTCTACCTACCGCGGTAGACCAAGCACAATGGCCTCGGGCTCACGAATAGGCAATTCACACAGTAGCTATTTCGGACTCAATCGTAGTCACTTCCTCTTCTGTGCTCCATTTCTTGGGTACACTAGTGGTGAGTTGGATTGCTGTAGGCCTGATAATCTTCCGATGTTCTTGTGATCGGTGACCCTCCATGCCTGGTGTGAATTGGAAAAAGCCATCTCGTCCTATCTGTCCCGAGAGGTGATGCTACAGAAGGTAGCTAATACCGATGTCGAGGGGTCAGAAGAGTTAGGTTTGATGTCGTCTCCGAGCTTCGGGTAGACCAAATCTCGCTAACTCTGCCAAACACTATCTCAACATCTGCGTGGGCTTCCTAGTGGCCTCAGACAAGGGAAATCAAATTCTCGATTTACAATACCGCGGGGTGAACAGGCTGAAGCCAAGATGAAGCTAAGCTAGGAAAGAAAAGCATAGTACCAGCCAGGCGCGGCCAAGCGAGTGGCTTCCATCCCAATGCAGCCCCTGCGAGAGGCCTCCTTACTTCAGAAGAGGTGAATACCCCACGCCAGCGTCGTTCCTGTCGCCAACACCCGCTCGTAAGTATTACCTTGACCAGGGCCCCCTTCTACCAATGTTGTTTTGCAGCGTGACACCAATTCTAAAACAAACACTCCAATATAATAGAAACGATGGCAACTGTGGGGCACGCTGTTCGATTCCGGTCAGGGGGCGTGATGGAAAAGGTCAGTTTCCTTCTTCCCTTCATTCCCTTTTTTTTGGGGGGGGGGGGGGGTTCCCATTCTCTATTATAGAATCAAGATTATATTGAAGAAATCAACAGACTGTCTGTTACTGCTTTCTTACCGATCTAGGTCGCTCTTGTCGCCCTCGCTAGGCTTGCGCCCTGATTGCTATGGTACCTCCCTCCTGACCAAGAGGTCTACGGGGAGCAGATTTTGCCGACTTATTGTTGACTTCTAGGCGAAGTGTTTCCCGCGGACCTCAGTAGCCCACTTCATACCTCAGTGTTGTCAAACCCAGTAAGCCAGGCTGCCTCATCCGCCGCGTTCTCCGTTAGATCAGTTGCTACCTCGATATACGTCCCGGCAATGAAACCCAAAAAGTGGAATACGAAGTGCCCTCTGATATAATGTCCAATCATTGCGGTAGGTCTTCTTTATCTGATTGATTTTATATGTATGAGAAGACTAGCCATTGCGATGTTCGATCATCGGATGATCGATTCCTGCGGTGCTGGAACGTCAGAGTCCAAAGTCCAAAGTCCAAAGTCCGTCCATCACGCTTCATCGCTCCCTCCCCAAGATCAACGTTAGATAAGCAGGTGCCTCTTTGAAAGAAGAAGTTCATAAGGTCTAAGCCGTCATAGTACACTCGCCAAACTAGACATGAGCATACAAATACCCCACCCTACAGTCTCTCCTATAGTCTTCCGTCAATGAGAAGCTCTGAGCGATCCCGACGGCTGATGCAGTTTCCTTTGGCGTGACCGAGGTTCGGTCAATGCGTTCTCTCGAACGTGCCGTCGCACATAGAGTTGAACCCCTTTGCGTCACATAAGGGAACTGCTCGTTACTATCATCATGATCCGTTGCCTTGGTTTGAGAATACTTCGAGGCATCTCGCTTCTCGTTTACTCTACAATTCGTTATATAGGTATGTATACGCCTTAGAGTACCACTTAGAAAAGGTAGGAGCCGTGAAACAAGGCTGGTTCACAATTAGTGGCATAAAAGTCTCAGTCTCGTCCCTAAATTTTCCTCTGCTGCTCTCAAGATTGAAAAAAAGCTTAAATATTAAGAATTATTCCCCTGGTCTCTGCAGTCATCTACTTGCCGTCATAGAGCTGAAGCGTACTGGAAATTTCATAGTTAGAGACTTCTCTCAAATGTTTTATAAGAAAAGAATACTAAATTCTCTCGATGAGCAGCGCCTCGTTTGCCACCCTAAGCTTCAAGCTCAATGCCTAGTAATAACTAAAATCAAGTCCTTCATGACTACTTCAGCCTTCATCAACAGTACGCCGCTCTAAGCGACTTGGGTATTTTATTATGTACAAGATGACTCTTAGCAGTGACACTGCTCGTCTACACGCACACCTTGCCCAGCTTTGACGAGTTCACTCACACACGGCAGTGGAATCATATATGGAAGCCAACAATAGACAACCTCGAGAACATCTAAAATGTCCTCCTACACGCCATTTCTCGTCTCTGTGCAACGAGTAATCCAGCAGAATAAATATCTACAGCCGGTTGGAAGCAACCAGCGCCCGCATTCGCCTGAGGTGCGATTACGTGCGTCGGCCGCTTAGTCCGGCAAGACCAGAGCCCGCAAACAGACTCGGCTTCCACAATGACAGATCAAGAAGTCACAATTGAGAGCTCCGGCTGCAGAGCTTGCTCAGATCGGGCAGTCCCATTTGCACCACCTTTTTTTTTTCTCACCTCATCACGACTAGAGAAAGGGGTTTGTTTGATTGGCGTGGTCACCACCATTCCACCCTCCCACCCCCCTTTCCTGCGAGCCTTACAGGCCTCGTTGGGACATCTCACAGCCCAGAATAGGACGGCGATATTGTCCTTCCTACACATGAAATCCCTTTTCGACACCTGACTGAGTAGACTGACCATTGAAAGCAGCCAGCCGGCATTGGGCAAGGCAACTTTCAGGTGGCAGCATAGCCCCAAGCAATGCTTACCAATCTTTCCTCGAGACCGAAATAGAAGGGAAGCCTTTCCAATCGTAGAGCCATCCTGTACAACAAGAGTCCCTCTTCCCTGAGACATTATCTCACTTCATTCTGGTGGGTACCCAAAGTCATAGAATGTACGAAACACACAGAATATCGATTATCACGCCCTGGTTATCTCATACAACAATGAAGCTTCTTCAACCTTCGAGCGACAGGTATCAATACCAAAAAAGCGAGCACCGATCCAAATGCAGCACAACAACCAAACCATGTAAACGCAAACACGACAACTGACAAAGAGAAGAGAGCTCGCGAGTGCTCCATCAACCAACGCTTTTCACCTTACTTCACAAACCCCTTAGATGAGCTCCTGTCGAATAGGCTCGCCAGTGGCATTACCACCGCCAACCACCTCCTTGGCCGCTCCCATCCTCTCAACAGCGGCGCGATACTAGAAACTCCAGGTTAGTTACTCGACTTACAAATCAACGCGAATCTTGGAAAGGCGGGTGGTACTTACGGCAAATACAAAGTTCAGCACCAGCGCTGCCATCAACGCGATGCTGATGATCAACGGCCCGACGAGGTTATCGAAATCCTTGCCGCTGCGGCCGATAATCATCTTCCTCCGCAGCCGCATCATACCGTACCCCCAAACGCCCGCAAACA